GGCATCCAAATTGGCAAAGAGGAAACAAAGCTATCTCTATTTGCAGATGACATGATTCTATACATAGAAAACCCAAGAGACCCAGCAAAAAAATTACTGGAACTAATAGAAATATTCAGCAAAGTGGCAGGATACAAGGTCAATATACAAAAATCAGTTGAATTCCTCTACATCAACAAAGAGGCCTCTGAAAAGGAAATAAGGAAAATAATACCATTTACAATAGCTACCAAAAAGCTAAAATATTTAGGAATAAATCTTACCAGAGACACATAAGACCTATGTAAAGAAAACTACAAAATATCACTACCAGAAACTATAGGAGATCTACACAAATGGAAGAACTTGCCTTGTTCATGGATTAAAAAAATAAAAAACAAAAAAACACCACTGCATTCCGGTTGATTCTGACTCATAATGACCCCAATGGGTTTCCAAGGTGGTAAATCTTTATAGAAGTAGATTACCCAGTCTTGCTTCCACAGGGGGGCTGGTGGGTTTGAACCACCAACCTTCTGGTTAGCAGTCAGATGCCTTAGGCACTGTGCTACAGATAGGAAGATGGAATGTTGTGAAAATGTCAATATTACCCAAAGCAATCTACACATTCAATGCAATCCCAATCCACATACCATCAACATTTTTTAAGGATATGGAAAAACTAATTATTAATTTTATATGGAAAGGAAAGAGACCTCAGATAAGAAAAGCACTGCTGAAGAAGAAAAACCAAGTAGGAGATCTCACGTTCTCAGATCTCAAAACCTAATATACAGCCACAGTAGTTAAAACAGCATGATATTGGTACAACGATAGACCAATGGAACAGAATTGAAAACCAAGAAATAGACCCATCCATCTATGAACAGCTGACCTTTGACAAAGGACCAGAACCCATTAAATGGGGAGAAAGATAGCCTCTTTAACAAATGGTGCTGGAAAAATTGGATATCCACTTGCAGAAAAATGAAACAAGACCCATACCTTACCCCATACACAAAAACAAACTCAAGTTGGATCAAATGCTTACATGTAAAACCCCAAACTATGAAGTTCATTACAAACAAAATAGGAACAAATCTAGGGGCCTTAATTTATGGCATAAATAAACTATCAAGCATAACCCAAAATGCACAGGTAGTGGCAAACACAACACAACACATGTTGTCGAGTCAGATCTGACTCATAGCAACCTCTCCTTGAGTTTCCAAGGTGGTATCACTATGGAAGCAGATTGCCCAACCCTCCTTCCAAGAAGTGGCTGGTGGGTTTGAACCACCAGCCTTCTGGTTCTCAGTCAAATGCCTTAGGCACTACACTACCAGAGCTCCTAAGAGAAACTAAATG